CGCACCTGCCTAGGTAATTGTAGCTGACATTGTCGCTGTTGCTTTGTTGCTGTTAATGTATTGTTAACGTTTGTGCAGCGACTGTTGTTGTGGTTGAGCTTTCACTTTTATATACCCTATGCCCATTAAAAAGGGGTTAAAATGGGGTATATCAAATTGTCCAATAATAAAGCGTTTGAAATATATAGTTTATTCATGATCAGTCTGGCTATCTAGTTTAATAAATGCCTCGAACTCAAAAGCTACGACAGCTTAAAGGAACTTCATAATATAGCACATGTATCAAAGGTGTTCCTCCCACTTTCTAACAAAAAGATTTCTGATTTTTGGCGTTACATAAAAATTTGCATATTATTTATTATTTTAAAAATTGTATAAGGAACAGACTGTGAATGTATGTAGAGAAGAAGCTAGAATGGTTGTATCTCATAGTCGAGCTTTATTTATTTTATTTATTTATTTCTTTGTCTCGCATTGTGCGTAATTACACACCTTCAGCTACCCTCTGCTACTAACCACTTTCGTTTATTTCTCTAATTAAATTCAAATTAAGACATAACATTTGCGCTTTAACCGTTATCCGCTTGTATTTTCCATAGCCCATATAAATGCTGTGGAAATAATTTCAAAATAAAAACGCGGCGTATGCGCAATGAGCTCTTTAATCCTCTAACTCATTCACACATTTTTATATGATTTAAATTCTGTCAGAAACATAAGTTGAACGCCAACCCATCTAGAAAAAACATTTTCTATGACATTATTAAAAACAAAAATTATAAATGTCGAGATATATTAAATTGCAAACAAGGCTACACAAATATTGTGTGACATAATAATGTAGATTGCATAATCTGTCAATAAATGAATTAGGTACTATAGGAGAATTAATTAACCGTAATTGAATAACGGTACAAGCATGTATACATAACCTTTATTCGTTATGTATTTTGTTTTATAGATTTGCACATTTTCTTGAATTATTTATCTGAGCTTATTTTCAATCATATTGAATTATTTTCATATCAAATTGCTCGTGGCTCTTCTTAGGTACCTTTAAGTTAAATAAGTAGTAATATAAATTTACTCAAAATACCAGTCTAGATAGACAACCTTAATATTCTATCAAAAATAACGGCAGACACTTTAAAATTGAGACGCTCGATATGTTGGGCGAAAATTGAATGAGTTTTAAACGTGAGCCCGGGACAAATTCAAGTGCTTGGCTTTCAAAAGCGGTATTACTTATAAACAAACACACAAATTCTCATACACACACTGAAACACACAGACAAAGCACACAGCATAAAAAAAGAGGACACTTTAAGCCCCAATGGCAATACAAACACACGTGTCAGGACAACGAAGGATACCAGCAAAAAGAGCAGGAAAATTCAAGTACAAACTCTGGCACTTTGCTCAAAATATTTTCGGCAGGCCATCAAGTTACGAGCTTTGTGTATAGCCCCACCCCTCTCTCTACCACTGTTTTCCTCTATCTATCTCTCTCTCTTTCTCTCTCTCTCTCTCTCTCTCCCTCTCCTGCTCTCTGAGTCTTCTTGGCCCGCTGCCAAATTCATTGGCACGATGAATTCACGCGATGTTTACGCACGCATTTATTTATGTTGCACTTTATTAGCTTTTTATCGTTCATTTATTTTGCTTTCTGTTTTTTGTTTTTTCGTTCTCTGTTCTTTGTTTTGCTTGCGTGCCGCACTGCCGCACTCTACGCAATTGCCTTTATTTGCGTTGCTATTTTCGATAAGACAAATATGCCAGTCCGATAAAGACATACACGTCGTTCCATGCTAAGAGGGGAAGCCCCGTTCGTATAAAACTGAGCCGTGCTAATGCGAACTGATTGATACATTTTACTTTATAATTATACAACTCCTCTCTCGACGATTGCTGGTTTTTTTTTATTATTTAGTTCTGTAGTCTTAACCGATGGAAATATTCAATTAAATCACTTTCTAAATTGTTTTTTGTTTTCTATGATCTGAAACTTTAAATGGAAAAAATATCTAATGTCTATATCTGACAGACGAGTAGAACTTCAATTCCCATATTTTTGTATTATACTTATATACTGTAGATTGGTACTGTACATAACATTTTTCATATATGTATGTACATATGTACATATAGTAAAAAAAAAATTTTTTTTTTGGCCTCTAGTTCGAATGGAATATATTTCCTTTTGATTTTTAGCATTCAAATATTTCTTTACTTTTATTCCTGTGTTATTATAAAAACCAAATAATATATTAAAGCTTTTATAGCTGTTGCCAAAACATTTTAAGGATCACAGATTTGATTTGATTTCCTTTTTAAATGATGCGCTTTATGCATTTTATACACTTGCCTGTCCTTGAAAAAACACCACTTTCTTTACATATGAAATTTATGAGCTGCCCTCGTCTATCTAAATATTACACACACCATTTGGCGTTCAATTAAATATTCGAATGCAACAAAACAAATGAACTGCTCGGTCGTTGGCCAACTATGTGTTTTTCTGTGTGTAAGTTTCTGTGCTGTGTTGCTTCACCCGCTTAATTAATTCTGCGGCTTTGTACGTAAATAGTTATATACATATGTACATCGATGTAACTATTTATTACCCAGTCCGCATTCAATTGATGTCACTGCAGAAGCGTCTGAGTCTGATAAAGACGCATTCGCTTTGCACAATACCAAGCCAATTTGGCGAGCTTCTTAATTTGAAAGATTTATTTATAGCTCGAACGCTAAAGGCGTACATCGACACAAACAGAGAGCATTATCAAGATCTCAGGCTTTCGAATAGCTATAGATAAAGTGGTCACTGCCCACAGAGCTATGACCGTTTCGCCAAAATTAAAGCGCGCTGGAATAATTGAGAAACAAAGGGTCAATTAAATAGACAACAACGCTCCATTAAATTGTTAATAGCACTCACATCATCATTAACAACACCAACAACGACAAAAAGCGGTGAACAGTATTCCTGTCAATAAGCACGGCGTGTCCTTGATCTTTATACATTTAATACGCCTCACTAATTGTTGTTGTAATAAATCGCAAGCAAATGCAAGCATAATACATACACATCTATATTTGCTTGTTTGGGGAACTATTCATTTTCAGAGAATAATTGACAGAGCATACCAAAGTCAGGGCAGCGAGCCAAGTCAAATAGGCACGTCTGCGAGTGTCTTAATTCGTAATGCCCAGCACCCACGCCCATTACGTCTAATCAAATAAATATTGATATCGAATATATATGTGTGTGTGTGTGGGTTTTTATGTTTATAGCATTTTTATCGATAGGGGATTGCATGTCTTTACACTTCCCGTTCATGTTTCCGCAAGCCTAAATTTGGTATGCAGAAACGGACTTTTGTGGTAATAGTTTAGGGACTGGTCTAAGAAATGAATTCATAACTCGTGTTCAATTAATTGCACATTAATTCCAATTGAGTGGCAAACAATCATGCAGGTAGGCCTGAAAAACAACTTGATCGAAAAGCAAAAACAAATTGTTATATCTCACGCATTTTGGTCACTTCATACAGATTACCTCGTAAATGGTTTTCAAAACTCTCACCCGCTCCACCAGACTTTCGGCCCGGCGCGCAAATGATGCGCGTTTGTCAGCGGCAATCGCGGACATGATTTGTTCTTGGATACGGATGCACTTGGGTTTCGTTGGGCTCGGTTGGTCTTATATTATTTAACTGAATGCACAGCCGGCGGGAGAGCAGCTGCAAAGAGACAAGGAGACAGCAGCCATTTACTAATTTATCACATTTGATAATATTATTAACTGTTATCTAAATCATATGATCGATGGTATTTATAAGACTCTTATTAAGCACAACAAATATCACAAGGTTGTAAAAGTCATGCACACACACTGAATCACATTGTCTATGTTTAATATGTATGTATACAAAAGTTGATAATTGTTGCCAAAAATCAAAACAATGTAAAAACACAACATATTGGCAAGCGGATGTCGACACAGCTGCAGGTCCGAAATTTTTGAAAAATATTTACAAAAATAATTTCATATTTGGGCACGATATTAACAAACAAGGTCAGTCGCGAAAGGCAAATAAGAACGGCACACACATTAAGTATATTAAAATATGCGCACACATTAATTTTCAAAATGCAAAATATGCAAAGGGCGTAATACAAATAATGTACAAGAATTACCGTTAAGCGAAGCACACACGGACACACAACTACATATGGGTGAAGTCAAGTCAGCTGCCTATCTCTGGATAAAAACGTAGACGATAGTTATCAATAACTGGCATTAAATGCTTGCGTAAATTGTTAATTCTGATTAAAAACTCCGTTGCCGATCGCATGCGCTTCGCACTAAGACGTTCTGCTAAAGAATACCGCCGTAGAACTGATGGCACTTTGCGGCTGTTTCCACTTTTGTAGCCCAGCGAGCATAAGGCACTCAAAGAACTGTGCCAAAGAGCGCATGGAACTGAACCGTCTGCAAAGAGCAGCAGCAAAAATAAGTAAAAATAGATATGTATGTATTTAATGTATAATTTTATTTTTAAATATGCGCTTTTTGCACTCTTCATTGTTCGCCATTTCGTGAATTGATTTATGGATTGAAATGCAAACAAGCAACAGGTAGCTTTGACGCAGTTGCCCGACCAATGAGCTTCAGTTCACGGTGCCTTCGCGTCCACTTACAAAATTTAAGTGCATCAAATCACACATTTGCATATAAATGTGTACTTAATTATGCTAATATTACAGATAAATTGCGGAAAAGTAATGTGGTAAATAAAAAGTTGGCGTACTTTTTTTTTTTTTTTTGAAAACTGATGGTGATTTACAACACTCACGACGCCTATTGCCCGACCTCCACAATCTAGTTTAAACTGTAAATAACGAGTATTTGGTACTGTTCAATAAATTTTGACTGTTAGCCAACACTCATATTATGCCATCTGCACCGCTGTAATCGACCGACCACCACAATATATCGCCCGAGCAAATGTTGTGAGAAGTACTTTGAAGACAGTTAAATTGTATTTAAAATTGTTAAAAAGCTTTGGTAAAAACGGCATCGAATTGACGAACAAAAATGGCAACTCGCGGCGGTCCAATGGTCGCGGGAACCGATGGAAATGACTTCGAGTTTAGGCAGAAAGTGGCAAACACATATCAAATTAGGTTAATAACACTTTCTAAATTTCCACAAAATTATCTAATTACTTGCAAGTAGCTGCGCCTGCACTGCCAAAAGCCAAAAGGTCATGCCATCGCAATCGACTGCAATCAAGTTACAACTCCTGCTATAGAAGGTGCACCAGCCAGACAAACAGTCAGCCAGCCAGTCAGCCAGCCAGCCAGCCAGGCAGTGCCAGCAGAGTGGGTGGGCAAAGTGCCAGCTAGACACTCAGCATGTGTGCCTGTTTACAATAGCAACAACAACAACGTCATTGTTTGTGTACATATTTTGGATAGCTAAAGGCCGAGGGCTACCAAACAAAAGGAAACCCAACTAACAAGTCAAACTACTACAACTGCAAAATAAATTTTCTTCTATTTGCAGCTTGTTGAACAAATCGCGTCTAAAGTACTGCATTTTCTTTCATGCCCTGCTATTCTTTGTCATGCTGGCCAAGCTAACGTCTGACATATTGGATCGCTTGGATATATTTGTGCTAGAAATCGAAGAGTTGGAGGTGCCGCAGCCACTGTGGTGGGAATACGTTTGGGCTGCCTCGCTGCTCACATCGTTTCTGGGCCTTTCAGCGGCACGTGGCAACAAGGTCCGCGATATGCAAAAGTATATGATTGCCATTTTGATAATGGCTGTGCTCCCGCTGCTTTACTGTTTCGCCTATTACTTTTCCGACGTTTGGGAGTTTTTGACCATGGACAAAGCCTTAGAGCTGGACGAAACGGACATTTTCGTATGGCGCGTAAGTCAAATATAAAATAAAAAAAAAAAATCTAATCAAATTAACAATTTGGTTGCTTCTCTTTCAGGGATTTCCGTATGGTGTATTTTGGTATGCCTTTTGTTTTGTGGGCTTCCAGATTCATGGGTTCACACTTTACTTTGCGTACAATCTAGTCAAGGCCTGGAAGGCGCGGTCATCCACACGTAAATTTCAGTAAATCAATAAAATAGTGGAAATACTACTAAATACTCGCCAAATTAGTGAAACGTCAAAGCAAGATGCTGTAGGGCTAGTTGTAAATAATTTGAAAAAAAAAAAACTTAAAACTATCTCTCTAGTGCACAAAAGCAAAACAGAAATAATAATAAATCACACATTTTTAATAATCAGACATCATATTTTCAGAATGAAAAAATTACCAACGTTATAGTTATTGTTAAAGTTAAAACGTTCAAGCGTTACATACTACATAAAAAAAAAAGTAAATATATAAACAATTATCCATATACATACGATACACATGCAACCTTATAAAGTCGAATCGACATCAAAGCAACTGAAGCCACCAAATTTCCCAAGTCAAAAAGGAAACAAAACGATAATAACAAGATGTAAACTTAATATTCTCTTTTGTGGTCTACTTACATTTCGACGTGCCTCGTGTTTGTTAGAAACGGCTAATATACTTATTAAATACTTATTAATGTATGTCTACATTGATACATATATGATGAATGAGTACATTTGAAACTATTAGTTTTAAAAAAATTTTCAAATGGTTTTTATTGCGTTTTGTTTTTGATTATTTTAACTACATAATTTGAAATGCACAATCATTCAAAATATTTGTATGTTTGTGGATAATTTTTTGTAAACTGCCCAAAATATTTTACGATTACAGTTATTTAATTGAAATTTTGAGTGTTTAAGCAAAGTTCAAGTTTTGATCATACAAAATTTGTATAAGATAAAATGTGAAATATTTATAAAAAGTTTCACCAATTACAAACTGGTTTTTGAATGGTCATTTACTATCGGAATTTATAAGTAGTTTTTTAAAAATCGATCAATAAAAATCAAATATATTTGTTCTTCTGAGTGGGTTAAAAAAAATAACTAAAAACCTTATTTAAATGGTGGGGGAAGCAAATAATCTATAAACGTAATGAGCGATAGAGCAAGTGAAAGAAAAACTAGTAATATGTATAAAAATAAAGGAGAAGTCCAAGGGCAATCGGATATAGATATTTTGAAAATACATTAAGTGTATGGAGTCTCGCACCATAAATTAAAATGTCATTCACTTAAAGTATGCAACACAACATTTTAAAATGTAAATTCAATGCAGCACTTCTTTGCATGCTAAACAAAATAAGAGAACATGCAACATTGTTGCCTTTATATATCAAAGAGCAGATAAGCCAAATTAGTACTATCTCTTAAGACACGCCAGCTGTAAAAGGCGTAGAGTGCATACCATAATGCACAAATAAACATCCCCCAATTTTCACCATTTTCACCAGCTGACTTTGGGCCCAACATTCAAAGCGGCTGACCAACAACGTTGCGCCCAGTTAGTGACCATTTGTGCAGCGTGTCGTGAAGAGGGCCGCCAAAGGGCAACAGCGTCGCGCATCGCTGCACTTTGAAAGTTGCGCAATTCGACCAGCTGAGAGAAGAGAGCCACGAAGAGAGTGTTTAGCGCGTGAGAGCACGGCTGCTGTCATACAGCATCAGCATCTACCGTCTCAGTTAGCTCACAGCTCGTTTTGACAATGCCTGTGGGAGGAGCAGACGCAAAATTTGTTCGACACTCATATTTTGGCAAAAATAAACAAGTGAATTTCTAAAAAACAAAAATAGTTAAATTTGGAATATTTGTTTTGATAATACGTGAAATTGAAGTACAAGGATGCGCGGCGAGGAGACCTACAGACGCACCACACGCGAAAAGATTGTGCTGCGTGGCAATACAGCCATACGCACCGTGGACTCCACATCCACCTATTTGCCTATGATGGGCGCAGGGTAAGTAAGGCAGCAGCAGCAGTAGGCATACATTTTTCCATGAAGCGCCTTCTGTAGGCGAGCTAGGCCACTTCAACGTGCCTTGACTGGTAAAAGCCAAGTGCATATTTTTTCCCTCAATGCGTATCGATTTTTATCTCAGGCAGCTGATTTGTCTATAAGTATATATACTAAATAAAAATGTCCTTCGTTTGATGGATTTGCTGCAGAGCTCATGTTAAATATTAGACAAGACACTCCAGGCCGTATATACTATTTAAAATGTACATATATAAAAAATAATTTTTTTTTATATGCTAAGGTTTGGCTTGCAATCAAAAGCCGCATGCAAGCGCGCCATTAAAGCCGGCAAAAACAAACGCCTAATTATTAAGAATGTATTCTAATACATTAAAATACGTGTGTGTGTATATATGTGTGTTCATTTATGTATATGCCTTAGCTAGTCGCAGAAATCGATGGCATCTTTTGCTTGAGGTTGAGTCAACTTGGGTTAGCGTGCATTGACCACTGGACTCAGGTGTAGGCAATAAATGAGCAACAACAACTCAAAGCAATACTTCCTTTAACCTCATTTCACATTCACACACACAAAGAACACATACAAAAAATACCCAGAAACTACCCGCCATGCAAATAATGAGCTTGCTTTCTGTTGTGGACGCGTCCGTCGTCCAGTTATGTGGTCAGTTGGCGGACAACCCTTGAGTCGCTAGGTAGATGCCGACTCGCGACGCGTGGCACTACATCGTATTGTTTCCGAATATTCCGTCAAGCTTTAGTACATATAGAGTAAATTTCTGTGTGTTTTTAAATTGTAAGTGAATATTGCCAAGTCTTTGTTGCTGCAGCCGGCAACAATGTTTAACACAAATGCACAAAACTGGTTTGGCATGGGCCAATCAGTGGCTGGACCTCCTCCAACTGGCGGAAACGTTGCTCAAATGCTGAACAACAACAATGGAACACAATCGTTTATGCGTCAACGTACGCTGACCAGCTCCAATCCAGCGCTGGAACGCACCGCATTAGCAGTGCGTCCGCAATCTCCGCCCAATGTTCAGGTGGAATATGAAGTGGCCGTGCCCTTTATGTCTGGCTATAGACACACGCCATATCATTCGCTATGGGATCTGCATCAGTGGTAATTATGCGCAAAAAAAAGTGGCTATGCCCCTTACGTCGTTCATTTTGGGATCTGCACAAAAAGTGTATTACATCGCAGGCCTTATCTTTCAAATCAAAGAGACCTTTAACATTAAAATTTCGATTCATTTGAAATTTATTTTAAAAATACACTTGTTTATTTAAGCACATAACATTTTATTACAAGTTATAAACAAATTTTGAGAGAAGTGTATGCTAACCAAGAAGTTCGAATATTTACTTAATTATTCACTGATCGTATTTCATGAAAGACATAGTTCACGAAATTTACCATCTATTAAAATTCAGAGTATTTTGAATATAATTTAAATTTTCATAAGAAATTGTTTCGGTGTAAGACGTAAGTCTCCCAGTCCTTAGCCTACTATCAGACGACTTCCGACCACTTGACGTTTTTGCTAGTCATAATTGCTATTAGTTGATATTTGCATAAATTGACGGCTCTTAGGGTCTGCTTTCTTGGTAACTAAAAATTAACATAAACACCTTTTTCAGTGACATGCATTTGAACGGACAAGCTTTTTAAAACAAAGAATAAAGAAAGAGAGAAAGAGTGAGAGAGGGGGAACTGACTGAGCTATCCATTCATCTAGATTCCTGTTTTTGTCAGTTATTTTCCTCGGCAGCCTTGTGCCAGTTTACCCATCAATGAAGCGTGCTATTTATATGGCTTTATACACAGTTTCTAAGCGCGCCAATAAAAAAACCATAGATATAAGGCCATAGTCAATAAATATATAGGCCAAATAGGCGGATCAGACGTTTTAATGACTCTGCAAGCGCAAAAGTTGGCCCAGTTAGCCGCTAATCACACAAATCTCTGGCTCCGAAACGTGGGTGCCTGTTAGCTACCATATCAGAAACATTAACCCCAATTGTTTATGTGCGCGCAATGAGACCACATCCGGTCTGTGGCTGCCCAAGAAATATGGCCGACTGCGGCCAACTTAATTAGCTAAGACGAAAACGTAATAGAAAATAGTGTAGCATACTTTTGAGCGTGTGGGCATTTTTTGATAAAGACAGCAATAGAACAAAATGGCAATTGCACTATTATAGAAAAATGTTCAGGTAAATGAATTACCGTTAATCACGATGACGCATGTGAATGTTAACAATAACAATAGTCGCCGGCACGTCAATAACCTAGGCGGCATTTCAGCGCTCAAGTTTATTGAACCCACAACTGTTTTGCATATGTATGTATGGGTATGACAGGTGCGCGCATTAGCCACACGAACTTTGGCTTGCTAGAAATACATGAGCACTATCTGTGCATGTGTGTGTGCCTACTTAAGTGTTGTGGAACTAGACAAACATTGGCCAGACTAGAAACGGCGCACGCAAGGGACTTGTCGCCAGCTGATAAGCCTAGCAAATTGACCTTTGCTAGGCGTTGGGCCAAGTTGAATGTGCAGGGCCAATGGCAAGCAGCATTAATCATGGCCCAATGTTTCTTATCTATTTTGCAGCTCATCGACGCCACCCGCAAGCTTATCGCATATGGCGCGCATGATGGACTCATTAATCTTGGATTCGCTGTCACCATTTGCTTTCACCAAAATCACCACCACCAGCCGGCCCACGCGTAATAGCAATGCCGGGAAGAAGCCGCCGGCAGAAATCGTGCATCCACATCAGCATCCACAGGTCGCTCCCGTAAATCCACATCGGCCCATCAACAATCTAGGACCCAATGCACCCAATGGCTTGGGCATTGGCGGTGCGCTGCCGTTGCGCAATAAGCAGCGGTTGCCCACACAAGGTTTGTGCCTCAAATGTTTATTTGATCGCTCACCCAACAATTAAACGCAGTCTACGATACAGAGGTAGCCCCGCAGCCACGTACCAGCCAGACTGCAATGCCGTTTCCCTCACAGCAACAGCAGGACAGTCGCTGGGTGTCCTCGTTGCGGCGACGCGATCCCGAGCTGCAGCCAACGCTGCCCTCCATTAGCAGCAATTTGAATAGCAACAGTCTGAGCCAGAGCCATCATGGCAGCGCTGGCAATGTGGGCATATCAGCAAGCAGCACGGCCAGCAACGCCGGAGTCGGTTTGCGTTTGAGTCGCCCAGGCAGAGCCTCCGCGCTGACAGCAGCAGTGCGCAAGAGTCGATCCGTGGAACGTTTGCGGGCCCGCAAGCTGAGTACCAATACACAGCTGACACTCAAACAAAGGGCGGTAAAAAAGAATTCTTTGGATGAGAACTCGAATTCGGATGATCAGGATGCGACCACATCGCTGGAGGATAATTCGCATACACAATCTACCACGCACAATACACCAAGGTGTTCGCCCAAGACAAAAGTCAAGCATTTCTCACCGTTGGGCTATGAGGGACACCTAGTTGATACGCTGGAGAAGGACATATTGCAACGCCATCCATGCATCAAATGGACCGAGGTAGCTGGTCTCAATGAGGCTAAGACCATATTACAGGTAATATTATTGAAACCATCCACAATTTTCAGTTTATTTTGAATTGTTTTACTCTAGGAAGCTGTGGTGCTGCCCAATATAATGCCCGAATTCTTTAAGGGCATACGTCGACCGTGGCGCGGAGTGCTTATGGTGGGTCCACCAGGCACGGGCAAAACCTTGCTGGCTAAGGCCGTGGCCACTGAATGCGGCACAACATTCTTCAATGTTTCCTCATCCACGCTTACATCCAAATACCGCGGAGAGAGCGAGAAGCTTGTGCGTCTGCTCTTTGAGATGGCGCGCTTCTATGCGCCCAGCACCATATTCATTGATGAAATCGACGCCCTGTGCGCCTCACGCGGCAGCGACTCCGAGCACGAGGCTAGCCGGCGTTTCAAGGCGGAGCTGCTTATCCAAATGGATGGTCTAAATGCTAGTTTGCAGGATGACAAGGTCATCATGGTGCTGGCAGCCACAAATCATCCCTGGGACATTGACGAGGCTTTTCGCCGGCGCTTTGAGAAACGCATCTATATACCGCTGCCCAATGGTGCGTGGCCTAAACTTACCTCGTCCAGACATATTCTAATGAGATTTTCATTTAACAGAGGAAACACGTGCAGCACTGCTAAAGCTCTGCCTTAAGGACGTATCGCTGTCGTCTGATCTCAACACGAGCATGATTGGTGATGAGTTGCAAGGGTATTCCGGCTCGGACATAAGCAATGTTTGCCGCGATGCCTCTATGATGGCAATGCGACGCCTCATCTCTGGCCGCACGCCGCAGCAAATCAAGCAAATACGCCGCGAGGATGCGGACCAGCCCATCACACTACAGGATTTTCAGGATGCTCAGCAGCGCACCAAAAAATCCGTTTCGGCCGACGATGTGGCACGTTTCGAGAAATGGATGGAGGAGTACGGGTCCTGCTAGTTATACGAACTATGTGCTAGCGCAGCACAAAATCTATAAAGTCCCCGTATATTTACACCCATACGTATGTACTTCCAATACGCAAACTTTTTTTAATTCTTGTAAAAACAATACATATATGTATCGATATATAATTATAAAAAAATGTTTCCTGTGTTTAAATGCTCAAGAGCGCACACGCCTCACATTTTGCTCTACACACAGATATACACACATGACCGTATTTTTTAATACACATTTATTCGACAGAATCCTACTGTAGGCTTATAGCAACAAATTGTATTTTGTAATCAACATATTTAGAACGGAAAATGTAATAAATTAATCAACACCCAGCGGTCTTCTTTTGTATATATTATAGATTTAGGCCCGTAGCTTATCAATAGTATTCTTGTAATCCTGTTCAATGAGCACATACTCCTCCTGCAGCTGCTCCATGCGCTGTTTCGTATTGGGCAAACGTGCGCGCAGCATTTCTGTGTCCATTTTATAGCGTTCCATCTTTTGAAGATCTTTTATCTGTTTATAGTAAACGGCGTTGAGGCGCTTCTTAACTTCTAGACGGTACACTTTATACTCCTTTTCGTCATGCACGTTGGTGTAGTAGAGACGCAGCAATTCATAAACTTTCCGCACCTGACGCGGGTTAAGCTTCAATGCCTCACGTGCCTCCCGTACCATCTCCTTGTTGAAACCCTTTTTGATTTCGTCGCGTGCAAAGCTTTTAAGCTCCAGACACAAACGTGCATCCACGAAATTTCGCAATCTCTGAAAGTCCTCCGATGGATCCTCAACGGTTATATCCACCACATTTTTCTGGCACTGGTAGAACTTGTAGATTGTTTCCACTAGTTGGGTGGCCAGACCCAATTTCTGGAATGGTGGCAAAATTAGCATTTGGCTGATGCGCGGTCGCTTGTTTTGCGGATAGGCGTAATATTCATAAACGGTAGTGTAGCCAGCAGTTGCATACTGGTACTGTCCATCCTTATTCTTGTATTTCTCATAGCTACAATAAACTAGTCTTACAAGCGGCGTTAATTATATATACAAGTCTACTTACCAGATGAAGTAACACCACTGGGCGTCGTCGGTGTCTATATAGGAGGCAGCGTCGACAAACCACAATATAAACGTTTGCAGACGCGCAAAGAACTTTAAAAATGAGGACATCTTATAGTCGCACTGATATATCTCAAAGAGCCGCTCACTGCCATCATCGGCGGTTCGAGTGTATTCGCCGAGCTTCTCGCCAAATGGCTGGAACTTGTCAGCCTTGTCCAGCGTTTTGAGAAACTCATCTAGGTTAATGAAATAGCAGCCGTCTGGCAGGCTTTGCGCAATGGTGGCCACCACATCGTCTGCTTTAATTTCACCACCAGAGATTTCATTGACACGCTTCTCGTACTCTATGCCCAGATAGATGTGCAGCGGACCGGCCGTGTACAGGACGCGCACGTGTAAGCCCTGATACCCAAATATGGTCTCCGACTCACCAAATATTTGGTGAGCCATGGCGGGATGAAATATAATGGCATCATTGTTGATGTCCGCCTTGTCGCGTACTGCAAGCATGCAAACGAAAGTTAATACTATAGTTGAAGACTGACATAACAGTTGCACTTACTCAGCTTGAACTCAACCGTATCGAGTGCGTCTAGCACCAAATCCTGATATTCCTGTATTTGTGCCATTTTGGTGCTTGTCTTTTGGCTGCCCCTCGAATTGGCGCGCAAAATGTGATTGTAGTTGTAGCGTTGAAACAGCAAACGCTTGCGACACTGTGCAAGGAGTTAATTACGAATAGCGCAACGTAGTTTCTTGGCATAAAAACAATTTACACACGCTTTTCATAAAACATTCGACTAATTTATTGTATTTTAGCGAATTTTTCGCGGCTTAACAAAGGCTAAATCGCGAGTGTTGTGCAGTGTAGCTAAAATGCAGCACCAGGGATGCACAACTTACCGTACGTTTGCGCGATTTGCTTTTTTTGCTCTTTTTTCGTCGTAGCCGTGTTCTTTTACCAGTTGTCATTCTATAAACCCAAATTGCAAATTTTGTAATTTTTAGATGTTTAACAAATTTTTTTAATCAATCTAGTTTTGATGTTAGTTTCAATTTGAAAATGCATTGTTTGTCAGACACTGCTCAACACTGATTTCATGCGCAGCTAACTTAACATCATTTGTAAGCAAATTTCTGCAGAGTTTTAATCGAAATTCACCGCATTTATTTGCTAGTGCCCGAAAAAATAGTATATCAATAACAGCAACCGCAAATAGGGCGGCAAATAGTTAAGTTCACTTTATTTAACATCAAGAAATACGCTTCGAGACAGTTCAACGTAACAAAATGTGAGTAGCGGCGCTGCCAAAAGTTGCCTTGTCATACTACCGAATTACAACAACAACAACATCAACAAAAATTCTATAACTATAATATATTTTTCTATTTTGCAGCTAATCATGGATAACTATTTGTTCGATGGCGGTCGCATTACAAAAATGGAGGTGGATTATGAGCCCGCCTGTGATGAGAAAATTCCCCTAGCCAAGGAGCTGGCCAAAAAGAATCCTGACGCCTTTCATGAAGCCATCGAAATTATGCTTCAGCTGGAGAAACAAACACGTCTGGGCGCTGATATGGTATCTTGTTCACGTGTGCTTGTTGCCATCTGCCAGATATGCCTCCAGACAGGCAACTGGAATGCATTGAACGAGTACGTCTCACTGCTAGTGCGTCGCCGTTCGCAACTCAAGCAAGCCGTGGTCAAGATGATTCAGGAATGCTGCACATATGTGGACAAAACGCCCGATAAGGAGAGCAAGCTGAAGCTGATAGATACGCTGCGTTCCGTTACCGAAGGCAAAATCTACGTAGAAATTGAACGTGCACGCTTAACTAAAATCTTGGCGGACATTAAGGAAGCCGATGGCGATGTGGTGGGTGCTGCAGCGGTCATGGAAGAGCTGCAAGTGGAGACCTATGGCTCCATGGACAAGCGTGAGAAGGTCGAGCTCATATTGGAGCAAATGCGTCTGTGTCTCTTGAAAGAGGACTACGTGTCCACTCAGATAATTTCCAAGAAAATTAGCATAAAATTCTTTGATGATCCGGCACAACATGATCTCAAGTTAAAATTCTACAACCTAATGATACAACTGAATCGAGATACATCCTTCCTAAATACATCGCGTCATTATCAAGCTATTGCAGAGCCGCCGCGAAAAAAGGCCCCAGAAACCGATGAGTCATCCACTGGAGATGAGAAGAAAAAGAGTGAGGATAAAAAAACAAAAGAAGAAGATGACAAGAAGTCGGAATCCGCTACTGCACTAGAGCCTGAGATAGAACTGACAGATGCGCAGAAAAAGGAGCTTACAGATAAGCTGGTCTGCGCTGTGATTTACTGCGTATTGGCTCCCTATGACAACGAGCAGAGCGATATGATGGCGCATCTATCAAAGAACAAGAAACTGGAGGATGTTCCCGCCTATAAGTAAAACATTCATGGCATATGCCTAATTCTTGTGACTTAGTTGTTTTCGTATTTTAACAGGGAAATACTGCGTCTGTTTATGTCAAAGGAGCTTATAAACTTCGATACGTTTAATGCAGACTTTGGCATGGTTCTGGCCGAAAACGATATGTTCAAGGATAACACCAAGCATGGCAAGAAGTGCATCACTGAGCTGAAAGACCGCTTGATAGAACACGTAAGTTTTAGACAAAGTACTTAAATAAATTAATTCTAATTTGAACATTTTTGTTAAGAATATACGCATCATAGCGATGTATTATTCACGATTGCACTTGACACGTATGAGTGAGCTGCTAAATTTGCCCACAAATCGTTGTGAGGAGTATCTGTCCAAGTTGGCCAACAGTGATACAATACGTGTTAAGATCGATAGACCTGCTGGCATTGTGTATTTTACAACAAAGAAGAGTGCTTCGGATATATTGAACAACTGGGCAACCGATGTGAATCAGCTGATGTCCCTGGTCAACAAAACCTGTCATTTGATCAACAAGGAGGAATGCGTCTACTCAGTTATGTGTGCTGTCGAGGATTAGTAGCATTTTAGGTTTATTGTGTTTTCTTATTGAAACGTCTGCCCATATACATACACTTTTATTGTAATACTAACCAACTACAAATTTATTATTTTGCAAAAGTTTGTATTCATTGAATGAACTACAATAATTAAAACCAAACTCAACACACACATTGCAAGGTGTGTTATTTCGATAATTAAAATTCTTGCAACGATTATTTTACACATTTATTATCGATAAGCTGGCAGTAAACTCGACATATCGATCAATCAACACAAATGCAACTGGTACAACCCTAATTGACCTTTTGGTATTTTGGTAGCTACTAGCTAGCAAGAAGAAGAAAAAGCTTTTAGTATCGATTTATATTTTGCCTGCATATTAAAACGAATAAATTTCTTGAAATTATAAAAATGCCTAAGGCTGACTGTAAATACTGGGACAAATGCTACCAGCGTAATGACGCCCATCTAGAAAAATATAATCACCCAGAAAAGCAAACTGAAGCGACAAAAATGGCGCCAAAACGCAAAGCAACTGACACGGAAGAACACAAAGATAGTCCGAACACAATCGACAGCATGGAAACACCGGAGATGGATCTGGAAGAGCCTGTTGGCAACTATGAGTCGGAGACGGCGAAGCTGCAGAAGGAGGCAATGAACAATATTGCCGGCAAAAATTTTATGGAAATACTGGAAAAGCGCATACGTTTGTCGGTGCAACAGGAGTATGACAGTCTATGCGAGAGCAATGAATTCATAAGACATAAATTTCTAGTGGAAATGCCAGAAGACTTCTATGAATTCTGGAAATTCATAAACACACTTAAAAAGGACACCACAAAAGCGGCTGCACTACAGCACGTAGAAACGGTGTTCCAGCTAGAGCTTGTGGGTCCATTTGAATTTCTGGCTGGTAAATTCCATAAGGCAAAAATCGGTGAACCGGGCGATTACCTGCGGCACTGGCGCTTCTATTACGATCCGCCCGAATTCCAAACTGTTTTTGTGCGTCAAGGCACGGGCATACACTACGGCTACTGGCGCGATGTGCCACAGGACAAGGAGCGGCTGATGTTGGCGCGCAATGACGCCACACGCAGCTGCGAGTTTCAATTTGTGGCTGGCAACATATTTGATGCGTTTCTCCACTATTTGCAACATGATTATGTGGGTACACCATTTACAGCAGCCCAAGTAGCTGCCACCAAAAAAGCGGTGAAGCAGTACATCAGTGATAACTCGCTGGAAATGGCCCAGCTCGACAGCTTGAAGAATGAGCGCGATAAGCGGGTGCTGGCCAAGACGTTTCATCGAGCTGGCATTGTGGTGCCCTACGAGCGCAAGACGCAGCAGGGGTATCGGCCGCTAATGGTTAGCGATGCAGAGCTAAAGAAAATCTTGGCTCTATTTGAACGCAAAGATCTCAATGATGGCAGCGACAATGCCAAGCAGGCTGTGTTAGAGAAATTACAGCCGGTCGCCAATGCAGCTAATATAGCTATGGATGAATGCGATTTTGGCACAGCTTTAGAGTTGGGCCTCGATTTGTTTAGCAGTGGTCACAAGGAGCTGCATATGCTGATCTCTTCGCTGCTCGTGCCCGCATATTCGCTGCTCTCACGACCACAATTCATAGCCATCGCCAAGGCACACCTGGATCAGCGCACCAAGGAGATCAATTTGAGCATATTTGAAGTATTAAAATAAGTTAAACTTCTTTACAAATGAATGGTGTGGTAATTTTTCTTGCAACCGCAACCTTTAATTAAAATATAAACAGCCACCTTAGCTTATGTTAACTATTTTTACATATACAAGTAGGAGGTATCCTTGGCTGGTGGAATATAACGTTCGGTGCACGGTACGCCAAGCTTCTGCAACAGCTTGAGCACTGGCTGAGCAGCAATTACATCCAATGGCAGCTTGTCAGTGTAAATAACATAAGAGCTGACCGGCAACTCCATCTGATTGCGCCAGCTCGCAACTAAAGAAATCAAAGTAATGTATTCATTAATATAAAAGCTGATATGGGCTTCGCCCGTTAAGTTTTTTTTTTCCTGATCACCAATCAGTGCGTATATGCGCTTGAAAACTTACTGCCTGCTGCTACGCCAGCTATAAAGTTGGGTGCCTCTAGCTCGGTCACAGCTTTATCGTCTCCTTTGCCCCCTACGCTATGCACTATGGCCACGTGCCCACTGTATCTGCCGATCACCTCACTTTTGTAGTCTACCTTGGGCTTTATGGTGATGGTCAGCACGCGTTTAGCCAACTGTGCATAAGGTATGAGCAGCTCAGTGACTTCGCCACTGCTAGTCAGATCCTCTTCCAGTGCGGCCAGCAATTGTCCCTTTGAAGCGTTCCAATGCAAAGATGAAGTTTTGGCTGGTATATCGCAAATGGGTTTTGCGTCCTGAAGCAGCGCGCCACTGCAAAATTCTTTAATGTGCGGTCCTTCGACAAGTACGAAAAGCTCGCTAGCGAATGGTGCTTCTTCCGCACCAACAGTAAATTTCAGCTGCGACCTGTTAAAATATTATATTCTGTTGGAGAAAGCACGGTACAAACAAGAACTGCATTCTCACTTTGTGGCCGGCTCAATGCTCTCAAATTCGTCTTCCTCGCAATCATCCCAGAAGGCCCGGGAAGAGGGTATGTTAACTTCACCAAAGCCCGGACAGCTCATTGTGTGTTGTATGGAAAAAGATCTCTATTGAAAAACAAGAAAGCGTAGCCGCTTGTGTTAATTTGTTCAAGTCATTTTCAAAAGTATCGAGTGGAATACCTTGATACTGCTCTTCAATAGTATTTTAAAGTAGCAAGTCACAGTACTGTTAAAGCAAACACCCCTTCTGTTTTATTTATTAGCTTCATTTATAATTTTTTAACTATTGCTCCTTATATTTATAACAAAGACTTATCAGATTTAGATTTTACTAACACATGTTAGGTACAATTTTGATAATCACGCACAAACTTCTGATATTTAAAAGAGTTTGTCACTGCCCCATGAAACCGATAGTATCGTCCATAACTTGAATCAAGTATAATCGGTGCTGCCATACCAACACGTAAGACGATAATTTACGTTAGCAAACGTTGTTATCGATGCTTTTTACGTCCTTACTGGAAGTTCGCACAAATTGATTTTTCTCCTAAAATAACAATAGCGCCACTGTAGTGGGAACAACTACATATACGACAAACTAAACCAAGCGAGCAGTTTAAGAAAGACGACTAACGAAAATGACAACAATGCAGGTTGACCAGGTAATTGTGATTCTTTTGAATTTTTGTAACTACACATACGCAACAAATTCCGCCATCATGAAAAAAAAAACCAAAAACTGCATTAAATTACAGAAACGTGCTCTAATCAAGCTTAAGCACGACCTGGAACCATTCCGCAATGCCATTGTAGGTGCCTACGGCGTTCTTACATGGGAAAAGCAATACTATGCCGGCGTCGTCTTTGGCGCCATCAGTATCATGTATCTGTTGCTATGGTACATGGATCTATCTTTTATAACTCTATTCTCTTTGTTGGCTTTATTGGCGTTCTTTATGGACTTTGTTATTCCAATGTTGTCGCGTTTGGTTTCCAGCGGAGACAAATGGGATGGTGAACAAGAGGCCAAGTTTGAGGAAGTTTGCGGACAGCTATATAGCATTAAGTCAGGTATTGCCGAATGGTATGATTACCTGTTCAAGGAGCGCAAGCCAACAATGGTAAGTATAAAAATATAAAACAATGACATCTGTATGAATACAACCTTTTCCTGATTTCAATAGGTTGTGATCATAATAAGCATCGGCTTGTTGGCTCTGGCCTGGATTGGTGCTATCATAAACAATCTATTGCTCATGTATTGTGCCACTGTGCTAGTGGCCATGTGGCCGGGCTTGAATGAAAAGGATGTGTTCAAGGGCCTCACCCAGAAAGTCACTAAAATAATCAATGAAAAAATTCAATATGGCAAAAAGAAACTGCAGTAGATGGTTAATTATTTATTAAATTATATTATGGATTACTAAATAAAACTCATCAGGCACACACACAATCCATCACATTCGACCAAAAACGCATATATATTTATAACTAAGTCATTTACTTGCCATCTCGTACACCCTTATCAATAAATTTAGTCTATCATAAAAGCTAAGTATACTTTGCGCATAATGAAAGTATTATCATTCACATAAATAGCTAAAAACAATGATTTAAACATAAGATATTTTGGAAACCTATACATAGCTGCATTTCTAACTTTAAGTTTGTATGGGCCCCCGAAGATTCTCAAAGAAAAGACATTTTTGTGATTATTTGTGAGTTAATTGAAATTTAATGTAATCCTGCATAGGCATGCACTCTTAGGCGTCTACTAATGATACATAAATGTTTAAAATAAAGTTTTGAAGTGAGTCAACAATTGAGTCACCCGACTTCTTTTTTTTTTTGTACTACCTGGCACGACCATCGCGTGATCGGGATCGTGTGCGGGAACGCGCATGTTTACTTTTCTTCGTCTTCTTTTTGTGCTTACTTTGATGACGACGTCGCGCACGTTCATCTGCGCTGCTGTCGCTGTCCTCACTGCTGATCGAGGAGCGATGTTGACGATGCGATTTACCTTTTGTTTTCTTTGACTTCCTTTTCTTGGATTTGTTTCGGCTGCTGCCACTTTTCGACTTTTTGTTTTTGCGCTCGTATGCGGAATCGGAATCACTTTCTGTTGATTCACCCGTATCTTCGGCTTCGTCTGAGCTGCTTTGCTGTCGCCGCCGACTGCTCGATTTTGATGTACTGCTACTGGGGAGTGAATCTTGACCATGTTCATGGTAACGACTACTGCTTCTGCTTTCTTCTCTGGCCCGCCCTTCAGCCTTGTAAGGTTTGCGTTCATCTCGCCTATAGGATGTGCTGCACTCTTCTTTGTAGTCCCTGCTATCAGCTCGTCGTTCTTCAGGCTTGACACTGCGCTGCTCTGATTTATATGGCTTCCGTTCTTCGTCCTTTGTTCTATGCAATCTGCGCTCCTCCTCACGTTGTCTTTCCCGACGATCTGTTTTGACACTAGTTCGCTCCGTTGACTTTTCCCGCTTGATAATTATTTGGCCATGCTCGTTTTCCTGCTTCTTAAACTCCTCGTACTTGGCCGTATCTGTAAGCGATTGCAACTATTATTTACCTTTCACTTAGTCTGCTCTTTAAATATTTGTGGTTGCCACTTACTTATGCACTTGCCATACTGCGAGTACTCTTTGCGCGAGACGGGTTGGCAGAGAAACTCATTGAATGCCTCCTTGGCACCTCCAATGGCCATTTTAACAATCACACGGCCCGCATGATCGTCAAAGCCCTCGATTTGTCCATACTGATCTTTCTGCTTGCCACCCAATATTCGTACAAAAGCTTGCTTCTTGATTTCCAACACTTCATTTTTATCCGGCTGCACCAACAGTGCCTTTGGCTTCAAAGCCTTGTCAGCGCCCAGGCCCATGCCTTTGGGTCGCAAAAATGGCGCCTCGTCCACTAGAGCAGATCCCTTTTTTTTTGGCGGCGGATCCACCCATCCCATGCCGCGCAGCATTGCAAGACCAAACTTTTCTATAGGTATTGAATCATAGTCATCCAAGGTTGCCTCCTTGGCACCATCCAGCGGCAGCTCATCAGCTTTCAGCGCCGGCAACACAAGCATTTCACCATCCACAATTTCATTGCCGTTGGCGAGTGCGGCGGCGATTAGCTCACGAGCGGCGCGTTGTTCTAAGTTTGCGCCTTCACTATTAGCAGTCACTTCAGCTATGGACTGTGGCTCGACAGTGGATTCCTCGGGCTCTACATCATCTTCGCCCAGCAGTACAGCACGTCTTTTCATTAGACTTGCCAGCGCTGTGGATGTTTTCTGACTAGTTGGCATTTGTATGACCAGTGGCGCAGCTTCTTGTTTTTCACTAGTAGTATAGAAAACAGAATTAGCTTGTTATTGTTTTAGGAAAAGTGTAAACTTACGTGACCAGTCTTATTTCCTTGCCTTCGAGGCATTTTATTAGCTCAACTTTGTTTTCTTCTTTTGGCACTTTGCTGGGCAATATATTTGGCTTCTTGGCCACCTTGCTAAAGCCAAAAGATATCTTTTTGGCATCCATTGGTCTGTTTTTGACTAAAATGCCGCTGGAAAACGTTTATAAACAAAAACGCAACAGCTGTGGTCAGAGTGCTGCCAGAGCGCGTAATGTTATCGATTCATTATCGATATCGAGTTTGATCATTTTCAATAGCATTGCCAAATTAAATAAATCACAATTTCTAGCATTTAATATTTATATTAAACAGTATTTACGTGAGTAATTTCAAAAACAACAATTATAAAGTAAAGCTCTAATTAATTGGCATTAACAATTCATGTTATCGAATCTTCTCGAATCGTGTGTCAGCGTTTCTAACCTCAAAAACAAACGTCACTCATTCTCTTTCAAACAGCGGCAACAGCGGAACGCGAGGCACGAGTTCTTTTATTTTCGCATAGAAATTAATTAAAATCACCTATAAATATGTTTGGTGGACAACAACCAATACTCGTGTTGAGTAAGTACTACATTTTTCATTGATGTGAGACATTTTATCAACTTATTCTTATCGTGTAGGTCAAAACACAAAAAGAGAATCGGGCCGCAAAGTGCAGTTGGAAAACATCCAAGCCGGAAAGGTATGTGTGTGCGTGTGACCGCGCTAGTGTGTGCGTGTGTGTAACGCTTGTGACTCACATGTCTCTTGCGACTTTCGTGCAATTGTGACCATCTGTTTACAAGATTGTAATTTTGTTGTCCCTTTTAGGCCATTGCTGATGTGATACGCACATGCTTGGGCCCCCAGGCCATGCTGAAAATGCTTATGGATCCAATGGGCGGCATTGTGATGACCAACGATGGCAATGCGATTTTGCGAGAGATTACTGTGCAGCATCCGGCAGCCAAGAGCATGATTGAGATTGCACGCACACAGGACGAGGAGGTTGGCGATGGCACCACCTCTGTCATTGTACTAGCCGGCGAGATGCTTGCTGCTGCCGAGCCATTCTTGCAACAGCAAATACATCCGACAGTGATCATTCGGGCTTATCGGGAAGCCCTCGAGGATATTGTTAATCATTTGCAGTCCGATTTGAGTGTGCAGCTGGATGTTAATGATAAGGCCAAAATGGCTGATGTGGTAAAGGCCTGCGTCGGCACCAAATTTATTGGTAAGTGGTCTGACATGGCTGTCAAGATTGCCTTGGATGCTGTTGAGACTGTTACGCTAAATGAGAATGGACGCTTGGAGGTGGATATTAAGCGGTAGGTGTTTGAAGAATAGTTATCTGGTCTAATTATTAATTTTATATTATAATATGTGTAGCTATGCTAAGGTAGAGAAGATTCCCGGTGGCGCTATTGAAGAATCATGTGTGCTGAAGGGCGTTATGCTTAACAAGGATGTGACGCATCCCAAAATGCGTCGCTACATTGAGAATCCACGCATTGTGCTGTTGGATTGCTCGTTGGAGTACAAAAAGGGCGAGAGCCAGACAAATGTTGAGATCATTGGCGAGCAGGACTTTACGCGCATGCTGCAAATTGAAGAGGAGTTCGTGCAGCGCGTTTGCGCTGATATAATTGCAGTCAAGCCGGATCTGGTGTTTACCGAGAAAGGTGTCTCTGATCTGGCACAGCATTATTTGCTCAAGGCGGGCATCACGGCTATCCGACGCCTGCGCAAAACGGACAATTTGCGTATTGCACGTGCTTGCGGCGCTACCATTGTAAATCGCACTGAGGAGCTGACAGAAAAGGATGTGGGCACTGGTGCCGGACTATTCGAGATCAAGAAAATAGGCGACGAGTATTTCACGTTTGTCACACAGTGCAAGGATCCCAAGGCCTGCACCATACTGCTGCGCGGCGCCAGTAAGGACATCCTAAATGAAACGGAGCGCAATCTTCAGGATGCCCTGCATGTGGCCCGGAATCTTGTGCTGGAGCCACGTCTTGTGGCAGGCGGCGGCGCCGTCGAAATGGCTGCCTCCCAGCTGCTGACACGTAAGCAGGTCAAGGGACCCTACACAGCCGTGGCTCACGCACTGGAGATCATACCACGCACACTGGCCCAGAATTGCGGCGCAAATACCATACGCGCCCTCACCGCTCTGCGTGCCAAGCACGCTTCACACACTGGCGCCGGCGTCTGTGCCTGGGGCATTGATGGTGAATCTGGCGAAATTGTCGACATGAATGTGAAGAACATTTGGGAGCCGCTTGCCGTCAAGCTGCAAACCTACAAAACTGCTGTGGAGACAGCTATTCTGCTGCTGCGCATCGATGATATTGTGTCTGGATCGAAGAAGCGCGGCGGCAACGAACCAACCAACCCGGCAGCCATGGCTCAGGGCCAAGAGTAGGCAATGAACAACAAATACATGTGTATTAATAATGCTTAATATCTTAATACTTAATTTAACACACAAACCACCAAAACAAAACGCATGCACACCACACTACAAATGTCTAACATTTCGCCAGCTCCGTCACATACAAAATTCTTGTTGCATTTGCTCTCATTAACAGTAAACAAATATAAACGAAAATAAAACACGATTTATTCATGTAATACCTTGATTCTCTAAGCTTTCACAACAAGTTCGAGGAAACGGCATATGTACAGCAAAGATGGATAAAATGGAAAGCTTAAAATAAAACTCGCTGCAAAGACACTATTTGTATATGTATATAGTGTAGTGTAGTGTTTATATATAGTTGTAGAACAACAGGGCCATCCCACATACAAGAATTCAGAGCCCTCATAAAAATTATTCTTCTTAGTTTCTCTTTATTTTTTATCGTATAAGCGGTCATCCATTAGCTTCAATACCTCCAAGCCAATGGATGTGAATTGTGGTTGTAAATAACGTGCAAACAGTTCTAAGCATCTGGGCTCCACTTGATCTCTTTCCAGCTTCAAATATTGACGCAGCCAGTCCAGCAGTGGCGGTTTGTGGGAGTGCACAATGCTGGCCACGCTAAGCAGCAGTTCTGTTTGTTTCAAGTCTGTGGCATATGCCCCATTGCTCTGGACATGGCATGCCAAATAGAGCACCTCATAGGGCTGCTTTTGTGAGGCATCCTCTTGGTTCAAGTCGCTGATGAGTTGATGCGCCGTATTTAGCTTGTACCAGCGCAGTTTATGTAGCAAACGTAGTTGCCAACGGGGCAGAAGCTGTTTTTCCAGCGCTTGTTGATGCAGGTTTGAGTTCGTGCACCAAATGGCAACCAAGGTGCGTTCATGCGTGAGTTGTCCAAGCGGCAGCATTGCTAGCTGGTCGTTATCCATCATGGTATAGCCCAACTCCTGCTTGACGCGCTTCAGGCGGCGTATATATTTGTTACGCCAAGGTGGATCAATCACGATTAAATCATAGTTCGGCCGAAGCTGCGGCAGCAACGCCCTTAACTGATCCACATTGTGGTTGTAAAAGCAGGCTGCGTGTGGTATGATGAAAGTGCTTGCCGGAGTTTGGAACGTTTGAAATTTACCGCTCGTATTGCTTCCATGCAGCTGGGGAAGTCTGTACTCATCCTCCCAGTAGCGCGGCAGAGTTCTGACTGTGTCCACTTCTGCTCTTGGCAACAGCTCAAGGTACTCATTAATGTTGTCCACTGCTGCATTCTTCGCTGTTTCGCTCAAATTGCGTTTGCGATTGCGTTTTCGTTGGTTTTGTTGTGGCTGCTGACTTACTTTTGGTTGAAATTGAAACAGCTGCGACTTTAGTTCATATGTCTCACTGCTAGGCACTGCAGCGCTGTAGGCTGTGTTTATAAGTTGCCTATGATCAAGTAAAAGCGCGTGTTTTTCGTTTTGTTTTGATAGCTGCAATTTTTGCATGTTGACTGTCTTAACATAACGATGTATCGATAAGGTGTTATCGATTATATTCGCTGTTAACGTTACATTGATGCATTGATGCATGCAAACATTTGAACATTATCTTTATCTTTTTTACGTACATTAAGCTGACCTTCAATATTTCAGCCTTAAACTCTTTAAATTGCATTTAAACATGGCTAAATCGACTCGAGTGTTGTTTATGGCCAAGCGTAAGCAAATCATGGTAATGATAATTATATATTAATAACAATGACGATATAACTTCATATTTTCTTCTTTGAAATAGTTATGCATTTTCTTAAGCAACTCTGCGTGCAGCCTGCGTATTGCGCGTCGATCATAGAAATTAAGTTCTTCCCCGGCATGCTCTGCAACATGTAGGGGCATTCTCCAATGCCCAATGGTAGCAGCGTATGGGATTATGTTTGTCGTATCGTGGTAGCAGGAACATTGCAGGAGTGTCTTCGAAATTAAACTTTTTGGGGACCTTATTTGTATGTATATTCATTTTGAATATATTTACTTGTTCCTGTTCCATTCTGGCAGCCAGTCGCTCTAGATTATCAAGAAAATGTTCAGTTTTAGCCGTTCCAAGTTTGTGTGAGCTGTTAAATCCAAGGACAATATCCGCCTGCTGTGCCCCGTAGATAAGGTCATTGAAGTTTGCCAACTCTATATCCGGCACGCGTCGCTTATCCTCAAATCTAAACTGTTGCACTAGTGAATCGGTCAATAATTGAGTGCAGAACACACGAAGGCTTTCCAGGCTAGGCGTGCTCGGTCCATGGGCGCTGCCAAAAAAGTGCCCTTCACCAGCTGCACTTACTCCCAATATCAATGGAGGCGATTGCGTGGAGAAACTACTATCATCGCGCCGAAAAGGATATTTGTTAAACAGATCAAAGACGTATGCTGCCCAAATATCATCGACAAGAAATTCTATTTGCTTGCCAAACGAATCTGGAACTGCCACTTCATAGATCATATCTAGCCAATGCTTCAGTCCATCCAAGTCATCGGCAAACAGATGCAGCGCTATAACCATTGGACGCTTCTCCAATCTCAGCGTGTATGTAAAGCTTCCCTAACCAAGACGCTTCAATCGCTCCGCATGTCGTGGGGACAACCAACTGTTGTAATTTGGCAATGTGTTCGACATGATAGCTGCGGAACCAAACTCTAACTGAGGCCAAGTAAAGGAAGCTAAATAAAATATACCAAATGATTCATTCCAATGCTTTAACAAAATCTGATGCAATATGGCGAAGTCACCAATCTTTACTAAATATAAAGAGAGCACATATGCTTATGCGTCTTTTCTCTTTGTCTCTATGGTCTAAAGCTGACATTCTATTCGCAAACTCTTGTAAAGTGAAAGAGTAAAAAGGTTGATTATAAATGCTTAAAAGAAACCAGCTATGGAACATATATACGTATATTTATTGCATTTCGTCGAGCGTCTTTTCCGGAACTCTTCGCTCGCGCTGCGCATCGTATTCCCTTGATTCCGGTATTCTTAACGATCTTACATCTTTATTGGCAAGCACTTTGGCCAGATTTTGTAGCTTGCCAAATTGCAAAGAGCAGAAATAGCAGACGGGATCGTAGAACATTATAAAAAAAATCCTAGATACTTTCAATACAACCGCCTCAGATAGAGTAGATGCCCGGAACCGGCATCTCACAGAAATGCCTAAGATTTGTGTAGCTGAATTGCATTTGCATCGTATGTGTTTATCCTGATTCCCGACCCGCCCTTATCCAAAATCTTTACTAAGTAAACAAAACCAGAAAACAACTGCTTTCAGCCAAATGAATGAAGTGAAGCTTTTAAAATATGCCAATCTTTCAATTTCACAACAATCGTTAGTAAAAGCTCACTAAACAGTGGGCCCAAGTTTAAACAAAAATACCCTGCTTATCAGGTAGGTATAGCGTGCCAAATAATAAATACCCTTTATAATGCATGTTTCTTTTATGTTTGTATAAAAAATGGCTGAAAACGCGAATTGCTTGCTTTCCACTTCAATAAAAACAGTTGCATACGTGTGCTCGTCACAAGTTTAATAATTATAAAATATTGAACAAGCTTAGTTATATATTTATATCTGTTTGCACAATACAACTATGCGTTCACCGTTTTTTGTTTTGCTTACAGAAAAGTTTAAAAATACCCTGGTATTGAACCGGCGACCTCTCGCTTGTTATTCCGACGCTCAGACCCTTGACCTTAGTTGCACAGGCTCATGCGCTCACTTTTGAAAAGCACAATTTATGTGTCTGCGTTGCTTCAGATGTTTTGCATACCCAAAGAGAAACTTCTGTACAAATTTCGGCTTCGCAGCTTTTTCCGCTTGCTCAGCAATGAGTTCGGACAAACCTTTTTATATAAACAGATAACTTAATATATCGGTAGAATATATAAAAAAATTGATAATATTATGCTAGATTTACTTCTTGCTAAACCGATTGTCAACATTTGTACAGACATCACTTTGAAAATCGTATCATGAGGCATTTTTAATAATAATATGTGGAATGTATACAACAAAAATGAAAAATGCGGCGTTTATATCTAGTGTCCAGAACTGGATAAATAAAACTAAACAACAGTGGCATTTCTGAATCGTCTATGCATTTGTGCATATAGTTTATAGGTTGGCGCATGGTTTAATCAGATACTTATTAATATAAAACAAACCCGTACTAAAAACGATAACTAATTAACAGAGAAACTATGCTTAGTATCATTTACAGAGTTAATTGTAAATTGCATATAAAAATAGATTCTGTGCTGTGAACTTTTTCACTACTTATGTGCTAAATAGAAAACTGTCGCGGCGCCTACCAGAGGCGCACCTGCTTAAGCTTGTCGTAAATGCTAAAATACAAGGCCGTTGTCAGGCTTGACTTGAGCAGCGTGGGAGCAACGCCCTTGTACAGACCCCATACACCCTCCTGCCGCACCGTTAACTGAAGACAATCCCAAACGCCATTGCATTGAAGGGTACGTCCGAATGTTTGGCGATTTTGCTCAAAGCCCTGGATTTGCAGACGCTTCTTGATTAAATCAAACGGATACACAATTGTCTTGGACAGCATGCCCGACGAGGCGCCTAACACCAAAAGCGTCCAGGTAGGCAGCTTACTACGGTCGTCCACCTCGAAGAAAGTGCACGCCGATTCGCTGAACAAACGATAGGCCATAAAGTTGGTGCCCATCAAGGGCGCAATTTGCAACAGGGCTGAAGACAAGCCGCGATACATTCCACGTGGTCCCTCCTGCCGCATAATGTCCGTGATAGCACGCGTTGCATTTCTGTAAACGAATTGAATTTTTATTTTAATATTATTATAATTCAGTTCAAATTAATTAATATTTTGTATGTTACCTATATCCTTTGCTAGTGTCTTGGGCAATCAGGCGTGTGCGTATAACATCCAAAGGTGTGGAGATGATCACTGCTGCAGCGCCCGCTGCAGCGCCGCACATGAAATTTGAGAGATGCGGGTGATCTTTGAGGTAGTTGGTTTGTTTGGCAACCAAGCTAAGCTGCTCGTATGTCCAGAACTGACAGATGCCGTACATAATGCTCAACACCTGGGCAGGATTGTGACCTTTCCAGAAGGCCAACAGGCCCTCCTCGCGATAAATGGTGCGCACGGCTTGAATAATAGACGTGTATTTAGAGGACTGCAATAGTGTACCGGATTTGTGGCCTGGTAGGACCAAGTTATGTTCAGTTGTCCTAAATGGTTCCACCTGCAGCTGAAAGCGTATCTTGAGCACATCCAGGGGCTGACAGGTGGAACGTGTAATAGCGGCCGCCATGCCGCCGGCAGCAATTTGCTGCAGTTGCTCACGTGCGCTGTGTTTGCGTCGTTGACTGACCGGTGTGGATGTGGGCGGGGGACACGCTGATACGGTCCCAGTACTGCTAGTTACCGCCGGCGTCATATTGCTCGCTGTCTTTTCAACTAACTGTATCGATGTCAATGGCTCTTTTGGTGTGCCTGTGCGTGCTGGTTTTCGTGCTGATTTCACTTTTATTACTGCGGCTGCGTCTTCAATGGCATTTCTGTAAATCATATAAACAACAACGGCGGCATTAATGTGCTGTTAGACAAACAAAATAGTTTTCAACTCTTCCGTTGTCGCTCTACTGAAATACTATTCAAGGTGCGCCCTGGTCTCGCGTCAAATTGTTTGCACAGTCATCAAATGATTGCCAAATTAATGTGTGAAAAAACGATGCGATGAGATGAAGATCGCAGGCCGAACTTACAAGGTGTCATGCCCAGTGGAGCGCGTGTCAGTCGTTTGTTTCACTAGGCACCTCTTATGCCTGGTGTTGTGGTTTCTTTTTTCCTTTTGGTTTCGCTATGGTCGCATGCGCGCCAATTTTGACATAGTCTTCAATCAGACTAAATTCACAAATTCATTCATTCAGGGATGGGGGCGTCTTATCGGCGATTTCACTTTTGTTGTTGTTGTTGTTTTGTTGTCTGGTTGGCAGGGCTGATGCTGCTGGCAAAACAAAGATAAAGCCGTTGCATTTGGTATGCATAACAAACGGAATGCCTCACCTTAAAAATATGCCAAATATCCACAAAAGTCGCTCGTCAATAAATTCGACTGTTCGCTGCCAGAGTGCAGTGCTAACTGTTTAGCTGCGCGGCCGCACGACCACGACGCTTCTTCATTACAAATTACAAGTAGCGGCCATGCGATTGCGTCAAAACTTTCTTTTGCCCAGCGCTTGTGTGTGTGTGTGTGTGTAATAACTGTATGTTGCCGCTCGTTGATTTAGCTGCAGTTTATGCGAAAGGCTGTAAAAACCGGTTTTGAAACGCTTTTCGGCTATAACAAAACAAATTGAAAACAAAACTTGGCCTTAAGTTACGTCAAGTGCATTCCCAAAACAGCTGTTGCTGTGCGCACCAGCTGAAAAAGTAAACTGCCAGCGCTTTTTTAACGATATATCGATATATTTATTTTGGCGTTGCCACCGGACGTGCGCGCGACAATATTAATCCGAACTATATCCAAAGTGCTTATACAAAATAATATATAATACAGAATATATGTATATAACTATTTCCAGCCTATATTGCCAGAGGCATCAGCAGGTGCGCTCGGCGAAGGCTGATAGCCCGGGGGTATGCTAAAGCCGAGCACTTCAAAGTTGTTGCCACCAGCAGGTGCAGCTGCGTGCGATTGCACAGGATACGGTGGCGTCTTGTGAGCTGGAACTGTCGTCGGTTTTGCAACTGGCGACACTGGATTTGGTGTGTAATGCACTGGAGCTGCTGGCGATGTGTCCTCGGCTTTCGGATAAAGACTGGGTACAGGTGATTTGGCTCCATTGGCACTTGCAGGCTGCCCATTGAACAAGTAGACCGGATAACGTGGCTTAAACGTATTGGACTCAAAGTGCTCAGTGCACACATCCTCTTGAAAATTTGGTGGAGCTGCGGGTATAAAAAAATGCCCTAAACACAGGCTAATAGATAACTTAGATGTCGCTTACGCAAAGATTGATAGCTGCCATTTGTGGTCGGTGCCTGCAGCTTCTGCCCGGGACCCTTATCGTCAGCGCTGCCTATCAATGGCACTGTGCCAATGACCAGCGGAAATTCTACCACCAAATCCCCGCCGCCATGCAAACGGAATGTTTTGGCTATGAAACGAAGCGTGTAGCTAACCCGAATAGGATCTCGCTCGCTCAGTGTTGTTGGTGTTGTGGGCGGCACCAGTAGGTACTCATCAAATTGCGCCTTATTATGTTTATCCACCTCACCACAGTGCTTGTCGGCTATACGCGCCTCCGTAGTTTTAAGCTGCTCCTTATCACCAGCTTTGCCGCGATAGGTGACATTCTTGAACAGACGCACTTTCACATCCTGGCACTGCACATCTGACTGATTGTCTAGCACAATGTGGAACTGTATTTTCTGGCCAGGCACATAGGCGCCGTAGGAGGTGCTCACATCCATGACCATTGGCTTATTACCGCCGAATATTGAGCCCCACCAGAAGGTTTTCTCCTCAATACGCTTCAGGGGTTGCTGAGCATAAAATAAGGTAATGATTAGTTTATTCCAATAGTATTTGAAATCCGATGTTCGACCTACCAAATGCTCCCGCTTCACGTTCAAATCGTTCGGCAGTATAACCGTAAAGCATTGTTTGAATATATTATTATATCGCACGGCTCGATCTATAGTCAAGGTCACCTCGTGCTTTACCTGTCCATGCGTGCCGTTAAAAGATGTGGGCGCCTGGGGCGGTATGCTGCTTTGAAAGGGGAACACATACTTGCCCTGGGGCAGCTCCAGCTGCGACCCACCGCTCTGTCCATACACATACTTATCGCTGCTATAGTAGATCTCAGTGGCGGTGTGCGTCTCTAGAGTTTTAACTAGTTTGCCATCGGCGCCGGGTTTTTCGACGCTTTCCTGCCAGCGCGTCTCCACAAAACCATTCACGGTTATATATATGGCTGTATGGGAACAGGAAGAGTGAAAGGGAGAGAGCAGATGGTGGCTTGAGAGTAATTGGCTTAATTTAATTGTAATGTTATTAAGCTGCATGCCATGTGGGCAGTCTACGGATCAAGCTGCGTTTCAGCCAAGTTCAATTGTGCTTAATTCGAATTTATTTGACATGGCCCTGACTTTTTATAGAATCATATTCTATTTGCGGACCATTATAAAACCAGTTTAAAGCATAATTATGCGTCTTTCAAGTTAATTTAAGACAGCCACAAAAAAAAATCGAAAACCTAAAAGTACCCATTTTGTTGTTGTTCTAAAGCTCTAGGCTGATGTTATTTCATTTTCAAATTTCAAATCAAAAGTAAATTGTTCGTTTACAAATCAAAGTAAAGCACAAGCCTAACTTTAATGCCCAATATTCATAACAAATAGCAGCTGTATAATTCGAAGAAAAACTAGTTTCTTTACTCTCGCTACAATATCAAATAGCCGACAGCGAATATATGAATGTCTGTATATGCATATAAACATATACATATTCACATATATGAGCATTAGCCACCGGCACAATAACAAAAGAAATACATAACAACGGCAGCAGCAACAACAACGACAACAACAACAACAATGACGGCTCGAATACTAATGAAGCGTCTGCCCCAAGCCCAGAGAATTTCTATTCGCAATGGAATTGGATGAGGAAGGGAACACCATGACGTCATGCCATCCACAGCCACAACGAAATATGATTTACGTCTTGGGCTAATACACACTTACAGCGTATGGTTTTTGGGCGCTCTGTGATAAGCTCTGCTGTGCCGGATACTACCTGGCCAGCGTAGTAGACGCCCAAGATACTATCGAAGCTAAAATTCACCTTGCTGCTCATCTTTTGGGTAGACGTTATTGGGCTGTGTAGATATACGTATATATGTATGTAAATGGACCTTGGTGACAGGCAGTGTCAGGATATGTGGTATCTTTATTTTGTTGACTGTGGCAGGCAACGCGGAACACACACGAGGTGAGGACACAACGACCAACTCATGCGTCCACGACCACTGGACGCGACAAGCAACAAATTAATACTGAAGCAGAATCCGATTAATAAATTCTCATATGCTCTTCGGCAATGCGCTCTGTGCGTTTCTGTGCGTGGCGTCTACTTCTTGTCGAATAATCGGGGAAGTACCTGCTTACAAAAATACAGCCCTGCAACCAATTGATCATTTTTATTTGGTATTGTGCAAATTATAGCAATAAAATGTTTCTTTTGAATAATGTGATGCTTATCGCGTTTTTAAATGTAAACTTTCAGCGCGTCAACTGCAAGCCAGGTGGCAACACCGTTTTATGTTTAGCGCCAGCTGATTTGTAAAAGTTATCGCTTATCGTTATCGTGTGGCAAGCTAAAACAAAAGCAACAACGTTTCTAGTTACTTTTCATGAATTATTAAAAATATTTGCCGTAGTTGATCTAATTTAAAAAGACCTGAGTGCGCGCAAATGTAATTAACATCCCGCTACATATTATCAGTTAAAGTGTAAGACTCAATTCATGCTCTGTCTGATTAAAAGTGTGCAAAGTTGTAGTTGTATTTCTGCACAGTGATACCAAAGCGGCCGCTCAAATGTGGCGTTTTATATGTTATTTTTGGATGAGTATTTAATGAGAGCAGCAGCATGGAAAGCGAACGACTATGCATTCGACTGGACAATCCAGAACGTATTTTCTATGCCGGGCAGGTCATACGCGGCGAGATTTGGATGAATCTCAACAAGCGTACCAAAATAAGAGGTAAAATTGTAATTATTCTTGTTATTATTTGTTATTTCACAACCAGAGCTTGCATCATGAGTGAGTCAGGCCCTGCCAGACCACAATTTGCGGTCAGTAGTGAAGTTTTCTGATTTTGTTGTACCCATTGTCATCGTGGTTTCGTTATGGCCGCATTGGCATAAACAAAGAAGATGTTTAACAACGACAACAACAGTATAAACAAAGCTCTGCAGCCGTAGCCATTTTGTTACGTTTAGTTTCTCTTGGTTTATGCGAGATTTCGATTCTGCATTCTTTAAATTTGGTGTTGTTCATCGATAAGTGCTCAATTGCTTGCATTTGGTAATTGCTCTTCTTTTTTTGTGGGGTCATTTGATTCAGGAAATACTACGCGCGGGTTCATTTAGATAGCGGCGAGCAGGGTGCAGGTGTAGTGTGCGAGTACGCGTACTCCCTCTGTGCGTGCGTGTGTATGTACTAAAAATGCCGTAATATTGGCTGAAGCACAAAGAGAGCTTTGCTCTCAATACAGTACTGTCTAGAAAATAGTGAACACATACTGCATCGCTCTCGCTATTAATGTCAATTGACAATGTCAATAGAGAAGATTTTAATAATTGGAAAGAGTCGACCATCATTCTTTTTAACACGCGATATACAACAATAAATATTAAAATATACTATTGTTGTTACAATTCATATAAGCCGTAGCCTATATTAAAATAAATAGGTTTATTATCAATGCACAATATTTAGTAGCTGCTTTGTACTACATTTGAGAAAAACAGCCGGTTATTAGATAAGTATAAATCTCGTATTTATTTTCATCAGTTGCTACACTGCATTCCTTTGCTTACACTTACAGAGTTTCAAAATCAAAACAAACACCTGCATATCGTAGTTTCTGTGAGTTAAGACGCCTACAGAAAGGGAATGAAAGAGAGAACAATGTGGCGTCCTTCTGTTTACTAAACTTCATTATCTCATTAATTCTATTTGACTAAACGATTTTGGGTATGTGTGCGTAAGAGAGAACCTCGTGAGCGCCACTCAACACAGCTGTTGTGCCCTACACACCAACAAGCGGGGCATATGAGTTTGCTGCATATGGGAAGCCATAGAGCGTAAAATCTGTTGTTCTACATCAAGTGTTTTGTGTTACGTAGCTTTAATATGGTTTTCGCCATATCATTTATCGCTCCATGTTAAAATCAGCAAGTACGTTATCAATAGGTAATATAAAACATAAAAAAAAAACGATTTATTATCAGAGCACCTACTTGGAAGAGTTTATACAAGTACATATATGTATATGTATATATAATATTCATATCAAAACAAAACATTTTTATTAGGGGAATGTTTTTGATGGTTGTAGCACATTATCAGTGAATACACATGTATGGCAAAAGACAAATACATTTGGACACATTTTACTCTTTTGATTCGTTTGTAGTTTATAAGGCTTCGCAATTACATTTAATTAGTTACAATGAACCGTAAAACCCCCCATTGGCCCCACCCCACTACGCACAATATATATCTAATATATATGTTAGGCCTTAATTGAACACATCTTACTCCTCGTTAGCAACAGCTGCCTATTTATAAGAAACAAAAATTTGTGCACAATATTGAACTGTTTTTCTCTGTT